GCCTCCAGAAGTGCTGAATGCTCCAACACTGGAAGTTTTTAAGAAGAAACTGGACAGCCATTTGTCCGAAATGGTATAGGGTTACCTGCCTGAGCAGGGGGTTGGACTTGATGACCTCCAAGGTCCCTTCCAACTTTATTATTATTATTATTATTATTATTATTATTATTATTATTATTATTATTATTATTATTATTATTATTATTATCATCATCATCATCATCATCATCATCATCATCATCATCATCATCATCATCATCATCATTTGCCCATCTCACTGTCAAGCAACTCTGGCTGGCTTACACATTTATAAAAGCACCCTATGTAACAATCAGAACATTAAAAACATTAGGCATTAAAACATTGAAAGTTAACGAAAATAAAAAGGATAAACAGGGAGGGATGTGTAAATGAGGCAGGGGTGGGAATGTTCTCCTAACTCTGTACATTTCTTAAACAAACAAATACAATTGTGTTTCTGCTCTCATGGGACATCAGAAACCTCGGAGAGCTGATTGACCGCTTCGTGGGGGACTTCAAAGCCCAGGGACCCCCCAAGCCGAACGTGGACGAGGGCGGTGCCGTTCTGCCCAGCTGCGCTGACCTCTTTGTCTATTACAAGAAGTGCATGGTCCAGTGCTCGCAGCTAAGCACCGGGGAGCCCATGATTGCCCTCACCACCATATTCCAGAAATATCTGCGGGAATACGCCTGGAAGATCCTCTCCGGAAATTTACCCAAGTAAGTTTTGAATTGAATTGAATTGAAGTGAATGCAGTAGTCCTTGACTTACAACAGTTCGTTTAATGGCCATTTGAAGTTACAATGGCACTGAAAAAAGGGACTTAAGACCACTTTTCATACTTACTATGATCATTATAGCATCCCCACGGTCACGTGATCAAAATTCGGACGCTTGCCAACTGGCTCACATTTATGACGGTTGCAGTGTTCCTGGGGTCACGAGATCCCCCTTTGCGACCTTCTGACAAGCAAAGTTAATGAGGAAGCCAGCTTCACTTAAAAACCGTATTACTATCTTAACAATTGCAGTGATTCACTTAACAACCGTGGCGAGAAAGGTTGTAAAATGGGGGCAAAACTCATTTAACAACTGTTACTAACTTAACCTCCCATCGGCCGGTACGCTCCCACAGAGTGGGTCTCCTCAGGGTTCCGTCAGCCAGACAGTGCCGGCTGGCGACCCCCAGGGGGAGGGCCTTCTCGGTGGGAGCTCCCACCCTCTGGAACAAACTACCCCCAGAGATCCGGGTGATCCCGGATCTCGCTTCCTTCCGCCGCGCCCTTAAGACATGGCTATTTCAACTAGCAGGACTGGCCTAAGGGGCAATTTTTAGCGGGGTTTTAAAAATGGGGGCAAAACTCATTTAACAACTGTTACTAACTTAACCTCCCACAGACCGGTACGCTCCCACAGAGCGGGCCTCCTCAGGGTGCCGTCGGCCAAGCAATGTCGGCTGGCGACCCCCAGGGGGAGGGCCTTCTCTGTGGGTGCCCCCACCCTCTGGAACGAACTACCCCCCGAGATCCGGACGATTCCGGATCTCCTAACCTTCCGCCGCGCCCTCAAGACATGGCTTTTTCAGCAGTCGGGACTGACCTAGGGTGAATTTTTAAATAGGGACAATTTTAATGATTTTAATAAGACACAGCTATAAATATTTGGTTTTTAATTGGCTTTTACAGGGGAAATGTTTTGTATTGTTTTTAATATGCTGTGAGCCGCCCTGAGTCCCATGGGGAGAAGGGCGGCATATAAGTTAAATAAAAAAAAAAATAAAAATAAAAAAAAAAATAATAATTTTAAATTACAAAGGCCTATCAAATATTTCATTTTAATTATATTTTTAACGATAGTATTGTGGTATTTTTTGTATTTGTTTTTATCAGGCTGTCAGCCGCCCTGAGTCCGCAAGGAGAAGGGCGGGGTAAAAATTCAATAAATAAATAAATAAATAAATAAATAAATAAATAAAATAAACAACTGCAGTGATTCCCTTAACCAATGCAGCAAGAAAAGTTGTAAAACGGGGCAAAATTCAGTTCCCGAATGTCTCACTTCACAACAGAAATGTTGGGCTCAATTCTGGTTGTAAGTTGAGGACTACCTGTATTTTATTTGGCCAGGTGTAATTAGACACACAAGGAGTTTGTGTCCAGTGCAGAAGCTCTCCGTGTACATACAAAGCAACAGAATAAAATAATAACAATACCAATAAAAAGGGAGAGTAAAGAAGATAATAAGAAGGATAAATAATATCACTATAGCCAGAATTCAGTGTTCAGCAGGATGTTAAGTAAATACAACAGTCGTAAGATTGTAATTTGAGGATGACATACGTGCATTGTTTTTGATGGTTGCGACTCCCATCCAGAAGGATCGCGAGTCGTGCGGCATGCAAGTTGTATAAATCAGAGTTCCCCAACCTTTTGGGCACCAGGGACCGGTTCCGTGGAGAGAGGTTTTCCCGCGGACCGGAGGGGGCGTGGTTTTGTCTACTGCCTGCATCCCGCAGATGGGGCTTTGCTTGTTTGTGCGGACTGGTTGCTGACGTGCGACGGACCGGGTGTTGGGAAATGTTGTTGTTGTTAGTTGCAAAGTCGTGTCCGACCCATCGCGATCCCATGGACAATGTTCCTCCAGGCCTTCCTGTCCTCTACCATCTTCTGGAGTCCATTTAAGCTCACGCGTCCTGCTTCAGTGACTCCATCCAGCCTCCTGATTCTCTGCCGTCCCCTTCTTCTATTGCCCTCCATCTTTCCCAGCATCAGGCTCTTCTCCAGTGAGTCCTCCCTTCTCATTAGGTGGCCAAAGTACTTGAGTTTCCACTTCAGGATCTGGCCTTCTAAAGAGCAGTCGGGGTTGATCTCCTCTAGGACTGACCGGTTGGATCGCCTTGCAGTCCAGGGGACTCGCAGGAGTCTTCTCCAGCACCAGAGTTTAAAGGCCTCCATTCTTTGACGCTCAGCCTTTCTTATGGTCCAACTTTCCCAGCCATACATTGCAACTGGGAAAACCATGGCCTTGGTATTTATTTATTTATTTATTTATTTTATTTATTTTATTAAATTTATATCCCGCCCTTCTCCTTGCGGACTCAGGGCGGCTAACAATCAAGTAAAAATACACAGATAACATTACAAGTTTAAAAATTAATTAAAAAGGAAATATTTAACTGTGATCTAATTAAAATATAATTAAAACCCCCTCTAAAAATTTCCCCTAGGCCAGTCCTGCAAGC